GTTCAGTCATAGTCACTGTAGGACTTCACTATCGTCATTTGTTTGTTGTTTTCGTGGTTGCTTTTATTTAAATAAAGTCATCATGTTCACTCCACGCGCTGCGTATTGGTCCGTTTCCTCAGACGATCGTGACATAGACAAGTTGTAAATGCAACAAGTACTGACATTGTATCATATAATTGCACTCATAGCTTTCCAAGAAAACAAAAATTGCGACAGACAATTGGTATAAAACCTGTACAAGCGGTATTTATAATTATATGACAATATTTTAGGTTGACAATAATTCTATTACACAATTTCTGATATATCACACCTTACTTTTATTTTCCTGCATAAGTTAAATCAGGATTATGCCTCTACTGCCATTCATTCCAATTAGACTGGTTTGGATTCATCCCTGACCAATATTGCTGCCATTTTCATCCCATTCTGGAACTTTGAGGGGTTTATGACATTGTCCCTCCAGTAATTTTATAGGATCTCTATGGAGCCACATCAGTTAACATCATTTGAATGAACATTTTATATTACCATAGAAATTATTTGCATCATAATACCAGGCAGCCATTGCGAGTGTACCCATGAATTTACCAGTCAAATTGCCATGGTAATAGGTTCCAAGTCCGTTCTATTCATTCTATTTATATATGTGCTCCACAAAAAAAAAAAAAATCATAATTAACGGTTATGACAGTTATTTTATTTTCATGACGGTCTCCATTCATAACATCGGTTACACGGTTATACGGTAATTGTGCCATCCCTAATGAAAGTCATTTCAATTCTTCAATGGACAACAAAGAGTCTAAATTACTTTAGAGAGGTTCACAATTCAGGGTAAACCTGGAGAATTGTTATCATTTACAACTGACGTCTTAGAATTATTGTTTGGATTGAGTTATTAAAGTAGGCTATAGAGAAAATATAAACAAGTGAAAAAGGTAGCACTAAGCATGTCAGATTTGTTTCTCTTTTAAAGACGCAAATTTACTTTTTGATAAATCCATATTCAAAAAGATTTGTATTCCTGCACATGTTTTGCCTTCAATCACAACTACAGTGAGGGAAAAAAGAATTTGAACCCCTGCTGATGTTGTACGTTTGCCCACTGACAAAGACATGATCAGTCTATAATTTTAATGGTAGGTTTATTTGAACAGTGAGAGACAGAATAACAACAACAAAATCCAGAAAAACGCATGTCAAAAATGTTATAAATTGATTTGCATTTTAATGAGGGAAATAAGTATTTGACAAAACATGACTTAGCCACCAGGTTTGCACACATCTCAGGAGGGATTTTGTTCCACTCCTCTTTGCAGATCTTCTCCAAGTCATTAAGGTTTTGAGGCTGACGTTTGGCAACTCGAACCTTCAGCTCCCTCCACAGATTTTATATGGGATTAAGGTCTAGAGACTGGCTAGGACCTTAATGTGCTTCTTCTTGAGCCACTCCTTTGTTGCCTTGGCCGTGTGTTTTGGGTCATTGTCATGCTGGAATACCCATCCACGACCCATTTTCAATGCCCTGGCTGAGGGAAGGAGGTTCTCACCCAAGATTTGACGGTACATGGCCCCGTCCATCGTCCCTTTGATGCGGTGAAGTTGTCCTGTCCTCTTAGCAGAAAAACACCCCCAAAGCATAATGTTTCCACCTCCATGTTTGACGGTGGGGATGGTGTTCTTGGGGTCATAGGCAGCATTCCTCCTCCTCCAAACACGGCGAGTTGAGTTGATGCCAAAGAGCTCCATTTTGGTCTCATCTGACCACAACACTTTCACCCAGTTCTCCTTTGAATCATTCAGATGTTCATTGGCAAACTTCAGACGGCCCTGTATATGTGCTTTCTTGAGCAGGGGGACCTTGCGGGCGCTGCAGGATTTCAGTCCTTCACGGCGTAGTGTGTTACCAATTGTTTTCTTGGTGACTATGGTCCCAGCTGCCTTGAGATCATTGACAAGATCCTCCCGTGTAGTTCTGGGCTGATTCCTCAACGTTCTCATGATCATTGCAACTCCACGAGGTGAGATCTTGCATGGAGCCCCAGGCCGAGGGAGATTGACAGTTCTTTTGTGTTTCTTCCATTTGCGAATAATTGCACCAACTGTTGTCACCTTCTCACCAAGCTGCTTGGCGATGGTCTTGTAGCCCATTCCAGCCTTGTGTAGGTCTACAATCTTCTCCCTGACATCCTTGGAGAGCTCTTTGGTCTTGGCCATGGTGAAGAGTTTGGAATATGATTGATTGATTGCTTCTGTGGACAGGTGTCTTTTATACAGGTAACACGCTGAGATTAGGAGCACTCCCTTTAAGAGTTTGCTCCTAATCTCAGCTCGTTACCTGTGTAAAAGACACCTGGGAGCCAGAAATCTTTCTGATTGAGAGGGGGTCAAATACTTATTTCCCTCATTAAAATGCAAATCAATTTATAACATTTTTGACATGCGTTTTTCTAGATTTTGTTGTTGTTATTCTGTCTCTCACTGTTCAAATAAACCTACCATTAAAATTATAGACTGATCATTTCTTTGTCAGTGGGCAAACGTACAAAATCAGCAGGGGATCAAATACTTTTTTCCCTCACTGTATGTTCAATAACTAACTTCTGTTTTTTTCTTGCAGGAAATGTTGTCTACGGATCCTGAAGATGAGCATTTTGGGAGGTGAGAGACAACCTGAACCTTTGATAGGAATAAATGCACATGCTTTGCTACAGTATCTCATGTCTAAGAGCCCTAATGACTATCTGCAAACCTGTGCAGCAGGGAGTTTGAAATGTGTCCGTAGTAGAGAACAGCCATGAAAGAGATCAAGCCCAAAATTAGCTGAACACACAGTACGTTGACCCTCGCGGGTCAGACTTGGCACAGTGTATCCACTGTGGCGGAGGAGTCCCTTCTGGCAGAACAGAACAATCCAAACGTTCCACTTGGGTTGAGCTGTCTTCATTCTCCCCTCCACTATATATATCAACACCATATCAACAAGGACTCTGATTGACAGAGCACCTGAATCACACAATTGTGTGGGCCAGAGGAGCCAGCATGTGTATAGAGAAGCCAGTGATCCAATACCTGTCTGGGTTCAAGTTTCAAGTTACACGTTTTGGGATATGCATGGTATACATCGTCCAATGAAATGCTTACTTGCAGGTTCCTTCTCGTCAATGCAACAACAATAAGAACTAATAAAAGATAAGAATACGAACATGAAGTAAATGGCTCAGTAGAATAGAATAAACATGTTTGCATAAGTATAATACAGGCACAATTTATAGTCCAATATTTACACGTGTATTGGGGAGAGGGGATGGGAGGCAAGTGTATAAATTGAGCACAGGTGATTGGTGGCATCTTAATTGGGGAGGACGGGCTCGTGGAAATGGCTGGAGCAGAATGAGTGGAATGGTATCAAATACATTAAACACATGGTTTCCATGTGTTTGATGCCATTTCATTTGCTCCGTTCCAGCCATTATTATGAGCAGTTCTCCCCTCAGCAGCCTCCACTCAAATTGAGCAGTATAATAATTCAGTTGCTTTTAATAAAGTAAAAAGAGGTATGCAGCGCGGCGCACAGAATGTTACATTTGTCCGAGTCAATTCAGTTTTAAACTCAATTAGAGAATTTTGCAGAGTATGATTGTTGAGCTTCTTTACACCAATATTTGATTGGGTAATTAGTTGTCCATTAAAAACCCTACATTTACATGACATGAGAACCACAGAAACACTGTGGTGGCCATGGAGAAAACCCAATGATTCTGTAAGCACTGCTCCATGCAGATGGCCCTGCTTTGCAGCTGTGCAAATGAAACACGAAGTGTCGTTCAAGGCAAGGGATGGAAAGTTGGCCACAAAAAGAGAAAGAGTAACGGAAAAAATTATAGCAGCAGTTAGCTGAGAGAAAATAATTCATGGAAAGTTTCTCTCCTGTATTGTGAGTGTTCAAATAATGAGCTGCCCATCTTTAGAGATATAATACTAGGGGGGAATGCTACACATTGACCAGATGTACCATCTCTGGCAATGTTTAGTGACCTTAGGTATGAAACAACATCCAGGGTAACATATGTAATCCCATATGTATGCATACCAGTGGAGGCTGCTGAGGGGAGGACGGCTCATAATAATGGCTGGAATGGAGTCAATGGAATGTATCAATCATGTGGTTTCCAGTTGGTTGATATCATTCCATTGGCTCCATTTCAGCCATTACTATGAGCCTCCACTGATGCATACATGATTGTAGGTCACCACTGAACATGTATGACCTGCCTCCCCAACAATTCTTCAGCTTAATAGCAAAGCGACAAGAGTATTTTGACATGGCAAGCTCACTCCCTCATGCATTCATGCTGTTCATATGCCACAAATCTGTTATTCAAACCTAGGGTAATTTACTACCACATAATATCTAGCATGAATAACAAAGTTAGACATTAAGACACCATTGTCCTCCTGGGTGAGCATTTTCTTCAGAAGGTAGGGAAAGTAATGTAATGATTTAAGTTAAGTAGAGAGAAACAACAGGGTTGTTTGTGTTGGGCCATTTGCTCTCTAGCTCTGTTGAGCCTCAGGGAGATCAAACAGGACATTTGCCACAGCTGAATGCTTTATAGTGCAGAGGGTAATGCTATGTGGACAGAGCTACAACTCCGATCTCGAACTCTCTCCTGAAAGAGGTTTACTATTTATTTCAGATAAATCATGTAGGCTGCAAACATCATGCTTTAGTTGTAACTGTAATTAGATGTGAGAAAAACTATAATTGTCATCAGCAATTATTGTAACTGGCTCCCAACTACTACAATAATCATTTCGAACCGCCTTCATTGTCTTTAGAAACACTTTCCATTGGCTTGGTCCCCAATGTCCCCTGATTGCAACCAACCGCATTATGTAATGAAGTGGTTAACGAATCATTAGTCTTTCATTGGCCAACAACCACATCTGAGCCCCGTCTACTCTGTTAGACCCCTCCCATGTAGAGCCGCCCTGAAGACTGGGCCCCTTTTGAATGACAGCGCTTGGGAAAGAATACGAATGTTTGTCTAATTTTCCGCAGCTACAGCGTCGATGAGCAGCAGTCGAAGAACTCCATTCTAACTGAATGGATTGGCATGGGGAGAAGCGGACCTCAAAACTTGGCTAAGCGGCAGCTTTGGAACTGTATTACTTTTACGATGGTTTTACTTTCGCTGCTGCTCCGACCAGGTAAGTCAACATATCATGACATGTATGTTATCCTGTGTGCATGCAAAACCTTTTTCCCGCACCCCGAATCGATGATGGAATACTTTCTTGGCTGTGCGAGACTAGTTCACAAAAACACTCACTCTTTCTGGAATAGTTATGACATAAAACATGGGAGTGTATTTAGTTTACACTGTATATTTCTGTTAAGTTGGAGTTGTAGTCAAACACTTGTTGGTTAGAAGTTACGTCGGTAATCAGCAAGCTAGCATGCTGTGTGCCTAAAACGGGCAGCTAGCGGCTAGCTAAACTACACGAGCTACTTTGGGCAAACTTTTCGTTAGTTAACAACTATCTAGCTATTTTCGCTAAATGCATCATGTCGAACAGTCATTTATTTTTTTCACGGTTGAAGCCAACCATAGACCTAATGATACTGTATTCACACACGAAGTCTAAAATAAAGTTTGTACTTGTAGAAGTTGGCGAAATAAGAAAATTAGCATTTAGCTTGCTAGCCTTTACACGTCGCGTTCGCAAATTGTATTCGAAAATGTTGTTTGTAAAGGAGCAACAAATGGCTAACACGTTTTAACATAGTTAGCTTGCTAACTGTTAATGCTGTGGTTAGTTTTACCTTGTAAAATTAAATGTACGACGGTGTTTTAAGTTCATGCTTCATTTGTTATTGCAATGCATTGGTCAGACTTTTCGGCCTCTGAACGTGTCCATCGTAACTTAAAAAAACTTCGGCCCTAGCTTTGTATGCATGTGCGATACGAAACAAATTGTATAAGTGTGGTGATTTTATGTGTTTCTTTGAAAACGTACGTAATAGCTAGCAAACGTTACACACGTTTCAGTCACAAGAGCTGTAAGAGAAATAAATGGGGATTTGGGACGTGAATGTGTTTTTGGTCCAATCGTTTCGTGATATGTTGTAAACTTTTGATAATTTTCACCATAGGTCATTAGATAAACTTGGGCGCTATAAATTCCAGTAAAGGGAATTGCAAAACAGTATCCTATAACTTAGTATTGTTAGTGATAGTTGAATCATTTTCAATTCTTACTTCCCCATAATGTGGTAGACTACTGAGACATGGTTATTATTGTGCATTTTGGTTGGTGTATTCATGTACATAGCAGGATGCGTAAGATACATCTTATTATACTGGGTATGCCATGTTTGCCTTGTTTACATTCTAAAGCCACCCTCAATTCCACAGATTAGTTAATCTTATTTTGTTGCCCTTAAATTGTTCACATTTTAGTCATTTTATCTTATCCAGAGCGACTTACAGTTAGTGAGTGCATACATTTTTTTCTTCTTCTTCATACTTGCCCCCTGTGGGAATCGAACCCACAACCCTGGCGTTGCAAGCGCCATGCTCTACCAACTGAGCTACACGGGGCCCACACACACCTATTGAAATATTTTGTTCGCTATGCAAATTTGTCCTATTCTCCTCTTAATCCTTTCCCATTTTCTCTCATTGCCTCTTGTCAAAGGCTGACCATAAAGCGTCTTTAAAGATGGACATGGTTGTTGATTGCGCTATAGGCTGTGATTGTCAAATGGACAATATTCAAAGCAGAGTTCGGTGACCTCCCTGCAAGCACTGGGATCATTGGCGGAATTCAGAGGAGGGATGTAGAATGCTTCTAAGTTGACATCTCACACATCTGTTTTGAACAGTTGCCAAGGCCCATGTAGGGCATTAGTCACTAGAAAATATATTCAAACAGTTTGCAACCAATTATCTTTCCCCACTGTCTGTAGAAAATATGGCAAGATTTGTATTATTGCAAGCTCATCATGCCTTTTGGGATTAAAACAGTCTGGAAGGCTAGTGTTTATTATCCGATCTTCTGTCAATGTGAATATGATAATTTATAGTTCTGTTTTTAGTCTTGTTCAGGCTGTATTATTAAAGTGTGCAATGTATGTGACATCTTGTGACACTTGCACAGGTGAGAGGCAATAAATTAATGTCATGTAAATGCACCTGTCATCTAGAGCCTCAAGATAAGCCTATAGGCTTCTCAAAAAGGTGAATACGTAATCTCCTTGTTACCCCAAAACATAGTTACTGCCAGATACAGTGCTGAGTAATAACTTAACACAGGAAGTGCCGAATTTATACAATCCTGACTGGGTCTTACATCCTTGCCTTCGGCCAGCTGTTAGTTACTCTGTCGCTGAACAAACACTGCTCTTTGTGCGGTTCCTCTTGGGTCTGAAGTCAATCTCTTATACAGTGGGCATGTGCGCCTTTATTGCGCCTCCTATTGGCCCAGCAAAAGCCAAACCACATTCATCACCCTTAAGCAAACTACATAGATTGGCTTCCTCCAGCAGTGAAGCACTGTTATTTCTATGACAGAGAGTTGGGGGCAAATAAGTTTTGACTGACTTTGCTCTGAGACAGAGTATGGTAACATGCCCCTGTGGGCTGGCTGGCGCATTTGGGTTTTAAATAGCATTTTTTTTTTTTTACATAAACTCGATAGGTGGAAAAGTTTAGCTGTCCTGCTGCACATAGCTAGGTTGTACAGCTGATGTGTTAAAACTCAGAAAATTCATTATAACAAAGTTATTAGGCAGTGAATAGACTAGCCTGATAACTGTGATTTCTATTGGAAACTTTATTTTTATATATGGTCATTAGAGGAGTGTTAAGTAGTTTTTGCATCCTCAATTTCTCATTCTTACGAAGAGTTGAGACAAACGCATTTATATACACCACCATGAACTAGGCCTAGCTAGGTCTCGGCTTTGGTGTACACATTAATGGTTCATTATCTAAATAAATGACTTTCCTCCCATTTTGTTTCTGATCACCTGTTGTAGGCGATGATAACCACGTAACACCTGTCCCCTGTTTCCTCCCCCCTACAGCACACTGCCAGCAGTGCCGGATCCAGCGCTGCAATGCGGAGTACGTGGCCTCTACCTCGCCCTCTAGTGGTCTCCAGGAAGACTCCCCGTCCGATGTGGACTACTGCATTGCCTTGCGTGCCTACGCCCTGTGTACCCGTCGCACGGCGCGCAGCTGCAGGGGTGACCTGGTCTACCACTCGGCTGTGTTCCGTATCAAGGAGCTCTTCACCCAGCACAACTGCTCCAGCGACGGGCCCACCTCCTCTGCCAAGGCCCATAGCACCTCCAGGCCAGTTGTGTCCGAGCTGTGCGACTACGAGAGCCGCGTGCTGGCCTCGGGCCCTGCCGGCCAGGGAAAGAAGTATGCCCACTGTGGATTATTTGGGGACCCGCACCTGCGGACGTTCCGCGACGAGTTCCAGACTTGCAAGGTGGAGGGGGCGTGGCCTCTCATCGATAACCGCTACCTGTCGGTGCAGGTGACCAATGTGGCTGTTGTCCTGGGCTCCAGCGCCACCGCCACCAGCAAGGTAGGCCAAGTCATGGGTTCACCTATGGCGATTTTGCTGTCAGTAAGACACAGGGCCCAATCATAACAATGATACCTGAACTGTATGTCATACATTGAATTCAAAAGGAGACTGACACAATGGTTCAAGATATACAAATATATCTCAAGTTAGGATCTGTCTCCACTGCCCCCAGCGACTTTACCTCTTTCATTCCTCTTCCAGACACCAAGGGAGAGAGGGCCATTTAGTGGTGTTGGATCACGGACATGCTTGAGCGCTCTACCTTTAACACATGGGTGGTCAGTCATATGGTAGTGATTAACGCTTGCCCCAACATTTTCCTCTCCCACAATTGTATAACTTTTTTTTCTCCCCTCTAGTCAAATAATGGACAGATATTTTTGTTGAAATATGGAATAGTTGGATAGAAACCGCATATTTTCGATTCTACTGATTTGAGTTTGGCTTATCTTAATAGCATCTGATCCCTGAAGTCAGAATTTAAACCTGGTTCTTCATATTGAAGGCCACACTTGGAGCTTGACTTATTACATTTGTAGATATGCACTGGATGAATACAACACTTGGTAGACACTAGAAAGTAGGCCTACTATAAATTTAGACTAGGCTACTGTGCCACATTTGCTTATTTGCTAAAATAATTGGTTTCCAGTAGTGATATTTTCAGCTCATGTAGAATACAAGCAAAAACACCAAGGATTGGGTCTTGGACTACCCAGACCTCTGAGAAGACCAATAGGCGTAGGCCAAATCATCTAGGCATAGGCTAGATCCGATAAAAGCCAAAGTGATACTGATTGGTCTGCAAGTTTCTTTCAGATCAGAGTTTGCTGAAATCCATGAAACTCAATGACTTTTGTAAATAACCTACGCTGGATTGCGTATGCGTTCAAAGTAAGCCAAACACTACTAAAGGGAGAACAGATTTCAGAGCCAAATATTTCAAATGATTTTTTTGTGCGTATGGGGGGGGGGGGGGGGGGGGGGGGGGGGGGGGGGGGGGGGGGGGGGGGGGGGGAATGCAAAGCCAACACCCACATGCCCCCAATGTCCACTTGAATTGGGGCAATTTAACTGTCAGAGTACAGAAAGGAAAATCGTTCATCAAATATAGTATCCCCTTAACTGTAAAGTTAACCATAGCCACCTCTTTGACAAAGCTTTGAAAAAATGTCGGCCTAGTACAAAAAAAATCCAGGCTCGACTCCAGAGTCGTGTCAGAGCTCAGGCACAGTGGCAGTTGTAGTGGAAGGTATTTCTGATTTATGGGCCTATCAGACAGCTGGGTTTGTTTGATCCTGCACTCTCTTAAGAAAGAGTATGGAGCCATACATGTGCCCATGGTTTATGACATTTACAATGATATTTGTTTTAGATGGCACAGATTAATGTGGGAACATTCATTAGTAGGCCTAGTCGTTTCTTTGGAGCTGATTATCTCCAAGTTAGTGGTCCAAGATATCACCAATGTGTTGCTGATGTTTTCTAGTCCATATTTACTTTAAAATAAGAGTATAATGAATATTTCTGCTTATAGTGCTTTCCTTCCATCACATTACAGAAAAGCTCTTATACCTTTTCCAAGAGAAAGACAGGAGTTTGTGTTCTCAAACTTTAAAATGAGCTATTCATGTCATAAAAAGTTAAGGTCCTGCTGACACATTGTGGCTCAAAATGGTACTACACCTGTTGAAGTCCGTTGAAGGCCTCTGATGGTGTCTGCTGCTTAGTATTTAGTAATCAGGGTGTATGCAGGATAATACTTCGACAGCTTTAGCCATCAGAAAATAACTATAATAACTACGTACTAACCGTTGTCCACCAAACAATACTACAGAAAGTACGATTTTCATAAGTCAATTTTGATTTCAATGGAATCATTAATTGACTTGCCTTTGCTGACATCTCTTCATTGTTCTCTTCCAGATAACTGTGATCTTCAAGTCGTACCACGGCTGTACAGAGCAGAAGGTGTACCAGGCCACCACCGAGGACCTTCCCTCTGCCTTCCAGGACGGCACTCGGAGTGGCGGGGAGGGGGGCAGTCTGTGGATCGTAGAAAAGGCTGGCTCCGGGGGCCGCCTGGTGAAGATCCAGGCCCGCTACATTGGGACGTCCATCATAGTGCGCCGGGTGGGGCGCTACCTTACCTTCGCCATCCGCATGCCGGAGGACACCCTTGACTTTTCTGAGGAGAACAGTGGGCTGCAGCTTTGTCTGCACGGGTGCCCGCGCAACGAGCTCATCAAAGAGCACATGCTGGGGCGCCAGCCCCTTCACCCCCGCCTCCCGGGCTCCGGGTCTAACCCCGAGCTGGGGCCCCTACTGCCCCCACATCAGATCTACACAGTGGAGCGCGCCACAGCCAAGTGCAGGGAGACCCTGCAGGTAGAGGACGTATACTTCCAGTCCTGTGTGTTTGACTTGCTCACCACAGGGGACCCTGAGTTCTCCATGGCAGCCTACGGGGCCCTGGAGGATCTGAAGGCCCTTCCTCCCAGCAAACTGAAGCAGAATTCTCCCAGGACTCCTCATGTTCAACAAAACAGAGGGGGTCCACATACGTTGGCAACAGCAACCCCCAGTCTGGTCACACTTCTGCTACTGGTTCTACTGCTTTTGTAAAGAGAAAATACGACACAAAAACTAAGTGGAAGTGATTCCAGCTTGAGGAAAGAGTGCCTGTTTTTTGCATTTGTGAATGTTGTGGTTCTTTTCCTGTCACTAAACCATTTTGTAGGTTTGAGCACTCAAAAAGGATGCCAGTGCTTCTTGTCCCCCCACACACACTTTGGCTGCCAGCTTCTACCACTTAATTGAGTCTGAATGCACGCAATCATGTGGGATCTGTCGGTGGTTAAGTGCGTAATGCGCTCTCCATTTTCACTCTTCTTGTAAATTGGATTAAGACAGTTACAGGATGCTTAAATGGGAAATTCATCATAACATGGTTGTCTGTACGCCGGATGTAAGGCAACTTATCAAAAATAATATTTGTAAATATTTCATTTGTTGGGAATACATCACGATGCACACAACTGTGCCAGATATCATAATCAGAGAATGTATCAGGCTTACATGAAAATAGTATATTATAGTGCAGAGACATCCGTGGAAGGTAAGACATACCTTTTGTTTCATCATTAGGCACTTAACGGTTAACACTCCAAGTTTAGTACCTCAATGTTGTCATATTTACTGAAAATATGTTTCTTACATGGGATGATCCAACAACTAAACAAAAATACTACCTATCCAAATATATTTGGGTTTTGGTGTAATATTCTCAGTACTTTTCACTGCATCCAAGTGTGATCACATTATCAGTTAGGTGAAACACTCCCTCTTCAAGCTGCTTGGCTTCCAGTTTTTTAAAGGTAAAGAAAATCTCTATATAATAATATATTGAAAGAGTGTATATGTGTTTTATATTGTGTACATTTGCCTGTGTATAGATGTTTTACACTTGTGATTTAGTTAGGTATTTTTGAATCCTTGTAAGAAAAGTGAACTAATGTGTTTTACCTTTATAATCTGTAATTTTCCATATTAAAAAGTGTTGGACACCATTTTCGTTTGTTTAGCATTTTTGCTTCTTAAGCTTTCAAGAATTAATGCTGTCTACAGCACAAGGATTCATGATACTGTATGTGAGTGGGACCATGGAGAATATTTGCTAGTGTAAATCTGTCAATTCTGAGTAAACTGTCAGGCTTCCTAAAAGGTTGCATTTTGTATTTAGCGTAGGCCAGTGACTGTTTCTACATATACAGTGTCTTCAGAAGTAGTCACACCCCTTGACATTTGACATTTCGTTGTTACAGTTAAAATTGAATACGTTTAGATGTTTTTTTGTATTTTGAAATCTTTGAAATCTTTACAAATTAAAAATAAAAAGCTGAAATGTCTTGAGTTAAGTATTCAACCCCTTTTTGTTAACCTAAAACACAAGGCCAAATCTACGCTGGAGATGCTTACCAAGAAGACTGAATGTTCCTGAGTGGCAGAGTTTTACTTAAATCTACTTGTAAATCTATGGCAAGACCTGAAAAGGGTTGTTTTGCATTGGAGGCTGCTGAGGGGAGGACAGCTCAAAATAATGGCTGGAATGGGTCAATGGAATCGTGTCAACTACATTAAAGATGTGGTTGATACCACTCCATTGACTCCATTCCTGCCATTATTATGAGCTGTCCTCCCCTTAGCAGCCTCCGCTGTTGTCTAGCAATGATCAACAACCAATTTGACAGAACTTGAAGCATTTGGAAAAGAATAAAGGGCAAATGTTGCACAATCCTGGTGTGGAAAGCTCTTAGACTTACCCAGAAAGACTCACAGCTGTAATTGCTGCTGAAGGTGATTCTAACATATATTGACTCAGGGAGTTTAATCAAGATAGGGTTTTATTTTTCATTTTATTGACTGTTAGAATTTTTCTTACACTTTGACAGAGTATTTTGTTTAGATTGTGGACAAAAAATGACATACATTTTAATCCCACTTTGTAACACAACAAAATGTGGAAAAAGTCAAGTGGTGTGAAGACTTTCTGGAGGCACTTCATGCAAGTCTTAAAAGAGTGAAACCAATAAGAAAGCCTTTAATTGATGGTGAAGAACCTTTTACAGTTTTTCTCAATTGCTAAAACACTAAAACCCATTGGCTGAACAAAGTTCTCAGTTGCCTGGACTCATTTAACTAATTATGCAGTCTGTCAATACCTTAAACCATTTCACATGGTAAAACACAATTTGCAGATCTCACTTTTCAGCAAAACTCTAAACACATTCTCATTTTCAAAACACATTCTGAACTCTAATGCACATGTCATCCATACTGGTAAACACAAGTGGCAACAATCAAATACAAATAGAGAACACATGTCATTGATTGAACACAACCACTCAAAATTGATTTAACCTGTTTCAAATGATGTGACACAACCAATATAAGCCAGTTCAGAGAGCAAACAGGTTGTTGAAGGTGGGAAGGAGAAAGTCTGAGAATGGATAGAAGAAACAATGTACGAGGACGTATGCGAGGTGGGCGACGAGGAGGAGGAGGGCAAGAAAGAGGAAGAGGAGGACAAAGAGTGGAAATATCTGATGAAATTCAAGCAACAGTCATAGACCATGTTCTTGTCCATGGACTGACAATGAGGGAAGCAGTACTTAGAGTGCAACACAATTTGAGCCGATTTTCTGTGTCCACCATAGTAAGGACATTCAGAGAAGAGAACAGGTACAGTATACTACTGTATTTTTGTAATTGCAAATGTACTGTACTACACTATATGCAGCTGTTTCAATAGACATTTGTAAAGTTAATCCCTGTATGTATTGTACTGCATGAATATGTTTTGTAACTGCACAACTCCTCTTTGTAGAATTGCAAGGCTGCCACATGCAGGTGGAAGGACAGCTATATTCACTCGGGAGCAAGAGGCTGTTATAGTTGGCATGGTCCTTCAAGATAATGCAATATGACTCAGAGAAATCCAGGATCGAGTGATACAAGACAACACACACTTCCAGGGAATCGACAGTGTGAGCATTTCCACAGTTGACCGTGTCCTCCATCGTAACAGGATGCAAATGAAACAAGTATACAGAGTACCTTTTGAGCGCAACTCACCAAGGTTGAAATAACTGCGAGCTCAGTATGTGCAAGTAAGTGTACATTCAGAAACATTTACTGTAATCCAGATTGTCTACAGTACTAACACATACTATGTGAATGACATTACTCTTCAGTACATACAATGTATGTGAATCAGAAGTGCATACAGTAGGCCTAATTGTACTCTACATTATAGCACTGTCTCTGTATGACTTACAAAATCCTACATACAGTATATTGTATTTCTACACAGACAATATTTGACTTGGAATCCTTGGACAGACCCCATGAGTTCATCTTTGTCGATGAAGCAGGCTTCAATCTAACAAAGAGGAGAAGGAGAGGCCGAAACATGATTGGACAGCGGGCCATTGTTGAAGTCCCTGGCCAACGAGGTGGCAATGTCACAATCTGTGCTGCTATCAGCAACCATGGTGTTCTACATCACCATGTTACACTCAGGCCATATAACACCCAGCACCTTCTAAGATTTATTGCCAATCTAAAATATATTTTATTTGAGCAGCAGGTTCAAGAGCAGCAGGGTCAAGAGCTAAATGAGAATCCCATTCCCACCTATGTGATGGTGTGGGACAATGTCGGTTTCCACCGAGCTGCTCAGGTAAGGGAATGGTTTAACATCAATGGGCAGTTTATGAACTTGTACCTCCCTCCATACTCGCCTTTCCTGAATCCGATTGAGGAGTTTTTCTCCTCTTGGAGATGGAAAGTGTATGATAGACAACCCTACACCAGAGTAAATCTGCTGCAAGCCATGGATTTAGCCTGTGGTGATATAGGTGAGGAATCATGTCAGGGCTGGGTATGGCACACAAGGCTTCTTCCCCCGTTGCCTCAGGAGGGACAATATTGTTTGTGATGTCGACGAAGTGCTCTGGCCTGACCCAGCCCAAAGACAAGAAGAAGCACATTGATCACATGTTTATTCCTTTGATTTTTGTCCCTTTTAGTATTGTATACTGTAGTACAGTCCATTGTAGGCTGTATACTGTACAATGGACTAATTGTATGGCCTGAACATTGTGCTTTCCATTTGTTAACAGTACTGACTGCTCAATAGATTTTGACTGGTTGCAGGGTCATATCAACAAAGAACAAGAATTACAGTATCACAGAGACAAAGGACAAGTTTGTGAGATGCAGGGTACAGTACTGTAAAAATAGGGGTACAAGGAGGAGGAAAAACAAAAGAGCAAAGCAGAGTAGTAATTTCTGATCAATTTTGAGCTACTATGATAGAACATGTTTTCGTTCATCATCAAAAGACTGATGGAAAAATATGAAATTTGTTTTTAGATTAAAAATCTACTTCTTCCTGAGAACTGTATGTTTTGAACAATGTGTTTTCTATTTTTCGGTGTATTGTTTACTGACTGCTTGAGAGTGTATATCATGGCCAGCTTTGTGGTTAGATTGTAGGTGAACAAAACATTGAAAAGTACATAGGCCCTTAAGTTATGTGTCCTCAAATGTTATGAAATCAAAAAATCTCACATTAGCTGGTGGAACTGACTAAATTAAATGAACCATAGAGGTCTTATAACTTATTCCATTCTACAGGTAATTGTTTTTGGGCTCATGTGACTTTATAGTCATATAGCCTAGAGGCTATGTAGCTTCTTATCTGTCATGTTTGGAGTTGTGTTGCGCTGTTATGAGGAAACTTGCATTTTTCTTTAAAGTTGAGTTGCCCTGGTCATGTCAGTATACAATAACTTTAAAGAGCAACTGCCCCTAAAAACCAACTTCTCATTAAGAAAACATCGATACAAGTCAGAAACATTTATTCTACTGTCAAAATGGACTACAGATTGATCATAATGCCTGTGGTAAATTTGGGTTGACTTTGGATATCCCTATGGGGCTAGTTAGGGACCATTTGGTAAATTACACAATGTACATGGGACAATATGTAAAAATTCCAATAGCTCCAAATTTCAATGAATTAAAAACCGCAAACCAACTATAAGTTGTAGAAATGTATACACAAATATTGAAAGCATTTAATGAGAAAACTAAAAGGTGTGCAGCATGAAAATATTGTCTAATTTACATTGTGTAATTTATTGACGGTCCCTAACTAGCCCTGGAACTAGGCTAGCCAAAGTCAGGTCGCACACCAGCCAACTGAAGCTAATTGGGAAAATAATTTGTCTAACTCTTCCCACCTACGAACACACTCATTAAATCACACCCTGAAACCAACACACATTTGAATTCAATCATAGCTGCTAGCATTTCTTAATGAACCAAATCTAAAGCCAAATCAGGTAGTGCAGTCACCCTTTAAAACTAACCAATGACATGTTGCACCTCTACTTTGCTACCTTTCAGATGAGCCAAGGAGGAGGACAGATGAGAACAGCAGGCCAGTGGAGCACTTAGAACAGCAGCAGCCAGGGGCAAATGGAAGGGAAGACAATGATTTAGGTGACCCTGACACAGGCCCAAAACAAGTTAAGTTACCCTAGTATCCCCTTGACCGTTTTGGATTGCAAAACTAAAGAGACACTCAAGAGAAGACACAGAGACAGCAACAGAAGAGTAGGATATGATGGCGAGAGACAACAGACAAGGCACAGAGACAGCAACAGAAGAATAGGTGATGGAGAGAGACACAACAAAAACAGAACAGGCCATAACAGAAGAAGATAGACAAAGAACACTGTAAGAAACAAGAACCTGAGACCGCAACAGACAAGACACAGACAGCAACAGACAAGACACAGAAAGTGACAGAAGAGGGCAGATGGGGAGAGAACAGAGGTGGGTTGAGCACAGTAGACTGTATCACTTCAAGCTGCTCTATGGATTCTAATTAGTTTGATTTATTTGCACAAATTCTAAGAGGTGAAATACAGACAGTGAAAAAGTAAAACATGGTTTACAAAGAATTTGCAGGTGAGGTGAAAAGAAGACGGCAGACGAGAGACAGCAACAGATGACGCAGAGAAACCTACGGAGAGAGGCAGAGGAAGGGTGAGCACACAGTGGACTGTATCACTTAAAGCTGCTCTATGGATTCTAATTACTGCACAGTGTGTGCGTGTGTGTGTGTGTGTGAGAGAGAAAGAGGGTGTTTGGGTACTGTAGGATTCTTTAATCAGTTTGGCTCATTGCACAGGTCAGAGTCTACGTGTTCTAGAGTAGATAGTAGAGATCGTTCTAGAGTGAAGAGATCCACAGTAGCAA